GGACTTTCAAACCAATAAATCTCCTCTCAGTCACAGTCAATTAAATATATATATATATATGCATATATATATATACACCACATATATACATATATATGTTAGATATATCTGACGTATATTATATATATACAAATATATATCTTTGAATTAGGAGGCAATAGAATCTTGCAAACCAACCCTTAGCTCCATTATCCTGGAGCCAAGTTGTATTGGTTCCTGCCCTTTGATCAGTCCAGAAAGAATCTTGGGAAATTGTCAGCTTACTGGGTAACACATATTAACAATGTGAAGGCCAATCAATGGCCCCACAATTAAACATTTTAGGGCTAGCATGCAGGCGTCATGGCATTCACGCTCTGCTTGAGATTACATGTTGTCCTTTCACTTTGGGCCAACTCATCCAGATTGGCTCCCTCAAGGACCCACAATATTTAAAAAATTCAACAAGAGTGGCCACATACATGTAAAGCCATTGTTACAGCAAATCCCGGTAGTTATGAATTATAATATATAAGAATGTATGATATTTTATACCTATGGGAAAATATTGTCAAAGCAGCAAGGAAAAAAATAATCTCAACATAAAACTTAATTGTGGCTCCATGTATTTTGTGGGATAATCAAATATTTACTGGCATTATGCTATCTCTATTTTAAATAAACTTACTACAAATTTTAGGAGTTTAGTTGATTGAGGTAAAAATAGTCTTTTATAGTAGAAATGCTCATGCTATTTGCCCTTTGCTGCATTTTGGAATCTCAGAAGCCTTAGTTATGAGGTTGACTTGATAGCAAATAATACAGATTTGGGAGTATAAACAGTGGTAGGGATTTCTAAAAGAATTATATATTTCCTTTGAAAATATGTAAACCATCTAATTTTTTTTCAAAGATATATGCATAATAATTTGAAAAGCCATTTGGATGACTCACAGTTGAGAGAGTCAATGACCAAGAAAGTTTGCGTGTTTTGCAGGTTTTAAAAAATCATCTATTTATTATCAGGATATGAGGTGTTTGGAGAAAGAACCTGATAATTGTTAAATAATGACTTTTTTTTTTCACTATGTCAGACTGTATGAGATACTTAAAAATGCGTTAATCTGTTTCTCTAGCGTTTCCTAAATTAAAGCACTTAGAGGTTTTCACTGATGCATTTTTAATGTGTCATCCAAGGTGTCAGGTTTAACTACGCCCTGCAGACTTAGAGTTGAAAGTGTTCTCTAGTTTAAATTAACAATATCCTTGCCAAAAGTCTTATTAAAAATTGCTTCGTTCACCAGTGAATAAAGTGTTTTATAGTTCATTAAAATTATGCTAAGTGATTATAATAAAATCTTTATAAAAAAGATATATTACTAAAAAAATAAGCCATCAAGTAACAGAAGATATGCTAATGAGACATGATCACATAGTCCATATTATATTATTCAAAGGATGAACTCTTCTTAAAACATTTCTAAACTGTTATTGTTGAGAATATGAATTGCAGTGTGTATATCTTTATATTATCACAATGGTTATGTCTCATGTAATTAAAGTGATTTATTGAAAGCACATAAGCTTATTATCACACTCATCGATAAACTAATTATTCTCCATTAAAACACATACACACACACACGATTTAGTGTAAAATCATTTCTGCTTCTGTCTGATAGAGGCAATTATTTCATTATTTTTTTCTATTTTTTGACTGACCCCACAAAATTTATTCACAAAACACATATACATCTTCTCTTCTGAGCTCATGAAACTTTCTTGTTGAATAATTTAACCTTAGAATAAATTATCAATGATAAGCTTCTTCTAAAGAATAAAATATTGCAATAATTCAAAGCATTACCATTTCTCTGCCAAATGCATTTTGTCATGTAAGTATAACTCTTTGACCAGGATAATTATTCAGTTGCCCAAGTTTAGGGAGACATTGATCCCTTTCTTATTAAAATAACATTTTTCTTTAACAGCTGAGTGTGGGGCAGGATTACAAATGTGCAGCATGGAAAGTAAGCTTGTGGAAAATCAGAAGGAGAGTTTTAAAGGATGTTATCATCCCCAGAAGAGGAGATATGATGGAATTCATAATTATTTACTGGTTAACATACCATTCAAATATAGCATGTATTTTATACAGTCTTGCTTCTCAGAGGTAAATGCAGGTGTATTTCTTTTCCTACTTGTCACTGGATGGTAATACAATTACTCTAAATAACATGTAGGTCAGTCCTGAGCAGCAGTTACAATTTCCTGCCCTCAAGTTGGCTATTCAGCTCTTGTTTTCAATAGTATATACAATCCTGCATTACAAGAGTGCCACAAATAATATAATTTCCATGGAAAGAGGCGATTATTGGCAAGATGACGAAAATGATGAACAGATATTTAAGTAATGGGAAACTCCATGACCTGATTCGCTTGTATACCAGGGAGATGTGCATATTTAAAAAGTAACTATGTCAACTTAGTTTTCCCTCTCTATGGTTACGTCACTTCTGAAAACAGAAGAAAACAAGAAGAGGAAGAAAAACACTGTACTAGAGAGAATATCTAGCAACGTTATCCGACTATATTTAAGTCTTGGCCACAAAGTTCATAATTCTCAGGTTTTATAATCACCATTGGTACTCGCAGATAGGCTTCATATCAAAGCCCTGCTACAGAAAAGCAGGAGACCTCATTCTCATGAATCAAGATTCCAAAGATGAAAATGACCTGTTTATATGAAAAATTCACCTTTGATTTTGAGGACAGTTGTATCAAATATAAAATACCTATGTTTAAATGTAATGCAAATAAATTATATCCTTTTTCCAAAAAGAAAGAGGAAAAAGATGTAGACACAAGGACCTTTAAGGGGAAGGTTGAAATAATTAGAAAAGGGATACATTTCCACAAAATGGTAACATAGTAATACATAATGCTACCTAGTATAGCCACTCATCCCTTAGTTTCTCCAGAAGCACAATCTGCTTGAACATCACCCTTCTTCATTTTATCCCTGCAGGATGGAACTGGGGAAGCAGTTTCAGTGTGTGTGAAGGATGGCGGACTATGTGGTCACTGAAGTTATAATGCCCGGATTTTGAATTTGACACTCTGTTCTTATCACACTAATATGGATGAATACAGCAAATATTTTAGGGGACGGTGATGATTTGAATGAATTGCCAGGTGTTCAGTATGTTCTCATAGAAAAAAACTAAATGAGTGAACTGATTTTCCTTTACTCAGCATTCAATATCCCTATTAAATTTTATACAACTGAAAATCCCTTAGGCTAAAAACCCCCAAGACATATTACCATACAAGCTAAAAATAATCTGCCAAGTACCCCAATAAGTGCAGAGCCAGACACAGGGAATTCTGTATCTTCAATGGTGAGCCAGAAAAATGTACCAGTCTGAATGTACAAATGGCTTATTAATAATAAATTAAAACTTTAAGAATTTTAGATGGAAAAATAGTGTTGAACAGATGTTTATTTTTCATTTTAATTTTTTTGCAGACCAAAGGAAAAGATGTGGATTTATGCTTACTTAATTTATCATTAAAATTGAATTTAAATATGAATTATTTAAAGAAGAATATATTTATTCTTTCTTTTATACTACAATAAAATAGATCATTCTTACTAATTAATACTAAATACGATATCCTGCTCTAGCATTATGTCTTAACTACATCTGGAAGAGAAAATATTGATATATATTAATGTATTATATCATTTTTACACAGGTATGTCATAATATAGACACAGAATGAGGAAAGCCAAATTATATCACTTTTAAAAAATACATACTTTTCATATAATACTAATTTTGAAGTACAATTACAAAGAAAAACATGTAATACAAACATGAACAGTGCAAACATTTCTTTAAGACTTTCTGAAACTTTATTTTGGTCAATAAAAAAACACAGTGAATACTAAGTCAAAATACTCAGCAACTTTCTTTAAAAATGCTTTTCACTTTATTAAAATATAAAGGTGATTTTTAATGTGGCCCTGACCTTTTTGTGAGCCAAGTTATCTTGCAGTCATTAATACTATAAGAATTGAGAAGAAACTGTACAGTAAGAAATACTTGTTAAAGCAAATTCAGACATTATCATACATACAAAAACATTTTGATGTATTGTCTAAATTCACAGTAATAAAAATGACAAAATTAAAGAAAAATTTAAGTAATAGCATGATTCAACCAGAATGGGAAAAAAAATGATTGTCATGTTCCAGGGTCTAAAAAAATTACTCACTATTAAAAATGAATACTGACTTTTTAAACAGAAATTTGAACAAAGAAGATCTTTACAAATAAAATCCCTTTATTTCAAGGACTCTGCATATAAAAGTCAGTTTCATCTTGGTATTTATTTGTGTCCAAGAGTGGTACCACCACTGAACAAATGAGAAGCTTAATTTAGATCTTATATATTTTACAAGTTATAAGAAGAGCCAGGTCTTTGTAGGTTACAGGAACCATAAACTCCTCTCACTCCCAAGAGCCATTTATTTCTTGAAGTGAGAAGAGGCCATGATGGAAAACTCTTCTTGCTACAGACTCCAAAGACGTAGTACTAGAGGGATTTTGAGTTTACAGAACCTCAGACTCAATTTTCAGTGGACGAAGACAGAGAGTCACATGAATCTTCCTTCTCTCTGGACTGGTCTCTACCCTAACCCAGCCATTTTATTCCTGATCTGGAGCAAAGACATTTTCTAGACCCTGTGGCACACACAACAGAAACCAGATGCTGAGAATGATGCTGAGAAGGGGACCAGGCATTAGTAAGAGGATGATGTGGATGTGAGTGATCAGTGTGATTTCTAGTTACTTAAGAAGCATCACATGATTTGCTTGAAGTTTATGGGAAAAAAATAACAAGAGTGATGAAATCCTGTAGTACAGTTTGAAGAGGTGTGAGAGAGATTTGGAAATGCAGCTGATAGTTCTTCTCAACAAGAAAAGCTGAAAGATCACATGCTAAGCCATTACCTTACTTGATCTTTTCCAGCTCTTCCTCATTAGCATTGTCTGTAAATGAAATAAAGCATTTTCATTATCTTATGACTCAAGTACAGAATAGGGCAGCCAGCGGTTTTCTAGAGAAAGCTTAACATTTAAACGGCAGTTTCCAGCAACAAGTATACAAGACAAAACTTGTTTATCACATACACACAGCTAAAAGAAGCACCTTTAACATTCAAGCAGTCTTTCTGGTGAGAGTTCATTTGCTTTATTCTTTTGTAGACAGAAATGAGACAGTATTTTTAAATAGAATGGAAATTTTGAGATATCTTAATTATTGGTTGGGGAAAAGAAAAAAAAAAAAAAAACCTCTTATTGAGTCTCATGATTGGCAATTGTTCCCTTTGGTGATGGAGGTTAAGGATGTACGATGACTTTACCAGGTAACTTTTCTCTTCAAACATGTTCAAAAGTCTGTCGTTTTGGTGGCATCTTAGAATTATCTCTGCTTCCAGTTAATCTTTAACTATATTGGGGTCTACAAATGTTTTCAATTGTGAAAAATGCTACATTAGTCTATCTTCCTGCTAAATGTTCAGCCATAACATGTCCTTTAAATCAGTTTTTTCTTTTTCTTTTTTTTTTTTTTTTTAAGATTTTATTTATTTGACAGAGAGAGAGAGACAGCAAGAGAGGGAACACAAGCAGGGGGAGTGGGAGAGGGAGAAGCAGGCTTCCTGCTGAGCAGGGAGCCCAATGCGGGGCTCGATCCCAGGACCCTGGGATCATATGACATAAGCCGAAGGCAGATGCTTAACGGACTGAGCCACCCAGGTGCCCCTTAAATCAGTTTTTTTCTGTCTGTGTGTTTCATAGTAAGAAGTAATTATGGCTACAAGTTATTTAAGGCTAATGGAGATCTTTAATGAGTGCCCAAGATCAGTGGTCTCTTGTATAAAGTAAGTCATAAAAATCCGAAGATCTTTTATTTACTCTCCAGTTTTACATTTTTCTCAGTAAACACTGAGGTATTAACTTCCTGATTAACCCTCTTTACCTCTCTTATCTTTAAGGCCGATGAAGTAGAGAATAGGGATTATTTGGAGAAAAGAATATAGAGATTGAAATGCTAGTCATATTTGTACATCAAGGAAGCATACTGGTGCCTTTAAGAAATATATCTCCTTCAGCAGAATTTACTATAAAGCAGGACTATTTCAGAAACTATTCATAAATTACAAAAATACAACAAAGGAGAGATTTTAATATAAGATTAAGTCATATAGAAGACAACCTTTGGCCTAAACCAAGACAATGGAATTACATAGAAGTTCTATGGTAGGAAATGAGAACATCATAAAATTGTCAAAGATAAGGATTCACTTATCTTCTTTGTAGATAGTGGTTTTATAAGTTATATTTTCCCTGTATATCCTCTGTGTTAAATATTGACCAAAATATGGAAGAGTGATAGATTTCCTAAGGTTACAATAATTCCTAATTTTTTTTTTTTGAATGGAGCCAGGAAAGCAAAGCATTGTTATCAAACACTATTTATAGAAATATTTTATATGTTTTCTAAGTACTAATGTGCCATTTATTTTGAAGCAACAAAACCCACCACTGGGTTGTGGAGATGGTCATGTAGTGGCCATGTAATAAATACTTGTTGTTGATCTTAAGTGAGTTACTGTCATCAGCATCACCACCACCACCTTCTCCCTTATCACTGAAAGGCAACTGGAAACCAAGTACTTTCATGGCATGCCATAGTCACAACAACTCTACCAGCAGGAGTCAGACAATAAATGCTCAACTTTCTCAGAAAGCAGAGTTTCAATGAACAAAGAATGATAATTCCCAGAGATAACGTTTTCAGTCAAATCAAGTGAGAACTAAGATAAATCAGAAAGTAAAATCTCATAGCTCATGGCCATTTATTATCATCATCTAGTTTCTAAGAATCTCCTAAAATTCCATTCTGTAAGGGGCTAAGAGCATGAGGAAGAGTTCAATCTCAGGGCAACACTACTCAGTATAACACACATTCACTACTGCTGCTCAAAACCACATCCTCTAACTCAGAGCCACTGCATACAATAGCCCTTCAAGATGTAAAGCTAACTATAGGATTGGTATTTTTCCTGTCTCTCAAAACTGGCTTTACAAATAGGCTGCATGGTATCATTTTTCAGAATTGAGACACTGACACAAACAAAAAGTCAACAATTGCCCTGAGTATAAATATGAAAGATCTGGCAGTTATGGGGACAAATTCATTATTTTCCTGATTTGGTTTCTAGAATTCTATTATTAGATCCACTGACTCTCAAAATGTCCCCAGATTTTTAAAAATTATTTTATTTATTTTTTTCATCATGATAAGTGTATTCTTTAATCCCCATCCCCTATTTCACCCATCCCCCACCACGCAGCTGCCCTCTGGTAACCATCAGTTTGTTCTCCATAGTTAAGAGTTTGTCTCTTGGTTTGTCTCTCTCTTTTTTTTTCTTTGCTCACTTGCGTTGTTTCTTAAATTCCACATATGAGTAGATCATATGGTATTTGTCTTTCTCTGACTGACTTACTTTTGTTTAGCACCGTACTCTCTAGCTCTAACTCTGTTGTTGCAAATGGCAAGATTTCATTCATTTATATGACTGAGTAATGTTCCACTGTGTATATATACACCACATCTCCTTTATCCATTCATCAATCAATAGACATTTGGACTGCTTCCATAGTTTGGCTATTCTAAATAATGCTGCTATAAACAAGGGGTGCATGTATCCCTCTGAATGAGTGTTTTGTATTTTTTGGGTAAATATCCAGTAGTGCGATTACTGGATCATAGGGTAGTTCTATTTTTAACTTTCTGAGGAACCTCCATACTGTTTTCCACAGTGGCTCCACCAGTTTGCATTCCTACCAACAGTGCAAGAGGGTTCCTTTTTCTCCACATACTTGTCAACACTTGTTGTTTCTTGTGTTTTTTATTTTAGCCATTCTGACAGGTGTGAGGTGATATCTCATTGTAGTTCTGATTTGCATTTCCCCGATGATGACTGATGTTGACCATATTTTCATGTGTCTGTTCGCCATCTGGATATGTTCTTTGGAGAAATATCTGTTCATGTCTTCTGTTCATTTTTTAATGGGATTATTTGGTTTTTGGGTGTTGGGTTCTTTATATATTTTGGATACTAGCCCTTTATAGGATATGTCATTTTAAAATATCTTCCCCCATTCCATAGATTGCCTTTTAGTTTTGTAGATTGTTTCCTTCTCTGTGCAGAAACTTTTTTATTTTGATGTAGTCCTAGGAGTTTAATTTTGCTTTTATTTCCTTTGCCTCAGGAGACATATCTAGAAAAATGTTGCTACAGGTGATGTCAGAGACATTACTGCCTGTGTTCTCTTCAAGGATTTTTATAGTTTCAGGTCTCACAGTTAGGTCTTAAATCCATTTTGAGTTTATTTTAGTGTACGGTGAAAGAAAGTGGTCCCTAGATTTTATAGCACGATTTCTGCTTCTTGAGCTAAGCCAACTAGCTAAATCATGGGTTTAAGTATCCCACTCCCGGGCTTCTTTTTCTTTTTAGATGGTTGGGTTAAGCTAGATTCAATAAAACTGCAAACAGTAGAAAAGTTTCAAAAAAAGGTGAATTTAACAAACATAGTATTACTACTGTTACCTTTGCTATCTGTGAGATGTTAGAGAAGAAAGATTGTTTGGGGAATGTTAAAGATAGGAGATAAAGCAAATTATAGAAAAATAAGATTTACGTTTTGCTCTATGATCTTAATTTTAACTGAGAAACATATGAATTTGTTTTTGAAAGCATCATCACCTAATATTATTACAGGATAATCAAACTTCATTAGCAGCTCAACTTTCTTTGAAGCCAGTGAAAGAAATAAGTAGTATAAAAATATGGCCTGTGATAGAGCTGTAGAACTGATTATGTTTTCATGAGATTCCACATTCTCAATCCATTTTTTACCTTTATTTTTTATTGTATTTTTTAAGGCAATTACATGGCTACTAAAGATATAAAAATAATCACAGAATCACTAGATATTATAGTATAGACATATTACAAAACATTAAAATTTTATAGGTAGATTTTAAAAAAATGTTAGCTGTGAAATAATTCAGAAAAATTTGCAAAATAAACCAACATGAAAGAAGTATTTTTTTAATTTGCTAAAGGCCAACTGGGGTCAATTCATATGTTTCTTACATTCTTCTATTTTTTTAGCTTTAGCCAAGCAATTTGTAGGTCTAGTTTATCTAAGAGAGTGTGTAACACAAATTAACTCACTTTTATTTCACAAATTCTCCAATGAAGAAAGCTGTGGATTGAACTCTGCTAGAAAAAGAGCCAGAAAGAACTCAAACACACTATCAGACCAAAATACCATATACAGGACACACATGTATGCACTACACAATTTTGTAGGTTCAAAAACAAGACATGCATTCAAAACAGAAATGACAGCTGTGTCATGCAGCTCATCAGCATGCCCCTGCCCCCCATGGAGATTGTGGTTTCTCATACACACAATGCTGGAAACTTAAAAAATATATATCTCTATATATCCGTTCACATCTGAGTTTTTTTTTTAAAGACTCAATGATGAACTCAATGGAGAAGACTTTAGTATAAGCAATTTTGAAATACTTTTGCTATTACTCATACTATACTCCTTAAATTGCTGTAATTAGACATTGCATGTTTTAGAGGCTTTAGTAGATTCAGTAGGTTGATAGGATTTTCAATTCATTCTTCAGTTTTACTGATTTCTAGAACTGGCAATCCACACAAGGAGAAATCATCCCAACTGCATCATTCATGGAATGTACTGTCAGTATTAAGAGTGTATAAAAAAAAACACAACTCACAAGATAACTGATTAAGAAACTTTACAACTCTGTAATGCTAAATACTCTGTATTTCCAGTTAATTTATTCCTACTTTTGATAGCATTTTCTTAACATTAATGTTGGTTCTATTTCCTATTTGATTGTTAAACTTTGTTACTAGCTCTTGAAACTCATGTCTTCCATTCTCTACTTTAACACATATAAAATATTTAGCGGAGTTTTGTAAATACAAGCACAAGAATAAACACATGGTTCTTGGGCTAAAGTCTTAAATCCCCAAAGCTTAAAATAGATTATTTCTGTGCTAATAATCAAAGAGAATAGAACTCTTATAATTTTGGTGTGTGAGGATCAATGCAAAAATCATCCTCTATTCCTTCCCTATTCATCATGCTAAATATTAAATGGAATTCTGAAGCCTTTAGTACTGATTTCTGGCCTGCTGCATTTGAATTTTTCTAAATAAGATTTGTTCCTGGATAATTTGTGAAAGTTTGGCATACCATTTTCAAGGCAGCAATATGTTATATATTTCAGACATAAAAATTTAAAGATACATTGGATCTCTGATTGTTTTTAACTAAAAAACTTTAAATATATTCCAGGGAAACATACAGAGCTAATAGTAGGCACGTTACAGAATGGAGAAAATACAGTGATACGCTTCTAATGCATTGTCGTTGTTAAATACCTTCATAGAGCAATACAGATTGATTTTAAGCATATGATCATTAATGTACTAATTTTAAGAACTCAAAAGGAAACTAAATAAGTATTTAATATTGTTTGTGATAACCTCAGGAACTTGAACACTGAAGTAAGGAAAAGAAAAAAAACCTTAAAATACCTTTCCCTGGACCTTTGAAGTATTCCTTCAAATCCTCATAGACATTCATCCGCAACTCATTGAACAACTACTGGTACAGAAAACTGGACTAGCTTTGAGGGCAGTCATCAAAAGAAAGGTAATTAGAAGCAATAATTTATATATATATATTTATGTATATATAAATATAAATAATATAAATATATAAATAATATATATTTATTTATTTATTTTTATTTTTATTTTTTTTAACCAGAAGTGATAGGATAAAAGAGGGAGGTGAGGTGAAGTATGTCAGGTAGGGCAAGTGACAGTGAAGAAAGCCTAGACTTGAGAGAAGGTGAGCTCTGTTGGAGTTTGTATGAATGGGGCAGAGGTTACCAGTGAGGGAATATACGGTGCTCATTGGAGAGCTTTAAAGCCCCTCATCAGAAATTTCCATTTAATTAGAGAAATAAACACAGGTCACTGAGCGCTTAGAAGAGAATAAAGAGGACATTATAGGACCTGGCACAATGCTTATAGATGATCAATAAATGTTTTTTGATGCTTGTTCAGCCAACAAATGGTCCTTGTTCAGAGGCTCAAAATCTCATAATTAGTATTGCTTCACAGTTTTAGAGACCTTAATAAAATAGCTATAAAACTGCTATATAGAACAAAACAAACAAAAGAGAAGCAAATTTGTCTTTGTTAGAAATTTTCATCCTATAAGCATAGGCTTAGAAACCCCGATTCAAATCTAGGGGGGCAGACTCGCCGGGATACTGGGGATGCCATGAGAATTTCCCATAGGGGATCTATCCTACTTTCGGCCCTCCGCCTGAGTCAGTTCACTTCCCCACAACCAACCCCGTGCTCCCAGCTATTGATCACACCCACAAGGAGGAGCAAGTGAAACCATACTGGACACCCTTCTCTCTACTGCTCAGGTGTGACTGAGGTCAGGATGGTCACCAGCCAGAACTGGCTCAAGTATAGGCTGCAACGGTCGTGCTTTTCTGGGGCAGTGAGTCTTCGCTAAGCTACTCACTTCTCTGGTGAAGAAGAGAGAAGCCAGGTGAAAGTCAATGCTGGTGTGGGATGGGAGAAGACTTCCTTTTTCAGTTGCCACAGAGGGATGAATTCAGTGCTATTTGGGACTCTGAAGGGCAGGGCATGGAGTAAAGCAGTGAAGGAAGAAACACTTGGCAGTAAAGGATTTTCTTTCAAAAAGCTGGGGTAGTCAAAGGGATTTGAATTGAGAAAATGGCATGAAGATTTCAGGAAGAACTCTTTGTCTTAAGGGCAAATGGGGCTGGAGAGAGACAATGAGGAAAATGGAAAAGGAAGAAAAGATGAACAATACCAGATTTTTTTTTTTAAGATTTTATTTATTTATTTGAGAGATAGAGAGAATGAGAGAGCACATGAGAGGGGGAGGGTCAGAGGGAGAAGCAGACTCCCCGCCGAGCAGGGAGCCCGATGTGGGACTCGATCCTGGGACTCCAGGATCATGACCTGAGCCGAAGGCAGTCGCTTAACCAACTGAGCCACCCAGGTGCCCCAATACCAGATTTTTGATGAGCAACTGTTTCATGCAACCCACCTGTTTTCTTCCTATTCATGTTTGATAAATCACTGACAATCAGCAGTCAGGGACTGTAATACTTTTAAAGGACGTTTTTCTAATTAGAAAGACATTGTGCTGAAATAACAACTTGGAGCAACTATGGAGATGGAAAGATTTTTATAAGAATTGTTGAAGAACAAACAGGGTTGGGAACCACTCTGCCTGTGCTGACACACATTCGTGTACAAGTTAGGATAACTCAGCAGCTTCATCTTGTTCCCAACTTGATCTCTCAAGCCCTCAGTTTGATGTTAGAGCACTTAGTAAATATCCCTTTTCTGCAAAAATTCAGCAGACTCTCCATCATCAAATCACCCAAATAACTACATCAGCCACGATATCCTAATTTCCAGTCATATTGCCAGTAGGGATGGTTTGGGATACGTAAGACCTCAGGCACTTAGGCATTTTCATTTATGAAGTGCTGTTCTTCATTAAAAGAACAAAGAATCTCAAAACAAGATTCTATCACTAAGTTTTGTTGATTTTACCTCTTATACGTAAATCTGCTGATTTCTTTCCATCTCTACCTCGGACAATCCTAATCCAGACCTCCATCACCTTCCACCAGGATTTTTGCCATAATTGGTGCTAACTGGTCTCCAAGTACCCACTCTCTTCCTTCCATCTGTTTTCCACAATGTAGCTACACAGCTATTTCCAAAGGCAAAAATGATTATGCCACTTCTGATTTATAGACTTCCCCTTGCTCTTTGCAGAATGACCACAAACCTTAACTTGGCCAACAGTCCCTACACAGTCTGGGTATCCCCTTTCCACTGTCATCATTTGTCATGATCTCCCACACTCTCCTTTGCTTCCACCTTTTCTCAGCTCCAGGACGTTTTCAATTCCTGGAATGCAGCATTGTTTCTCTGGTCACAGGGCCTTTGCACATGCTGTTTCCTCTGCTTCAATACATTCTCTTTTCCTGGTTTTTGTCTTATTAACTCCTATTCACACTTTAGACCTCAGGTCCCATTTGACTTCCTTAGAGAATTCCTGTCCCCCTAACTAGACCAAATTCTACTGTATTTGCTCTTAACAGCAACACACCCCTCTCTTTCACAGAACTCAAAACAGTCATCATGTTAAATTTCCTTCAATAATTATTTGATCCCTGAATTCTCCACTGGATAGAAGTTCTATAGGATCCTAAGGGTCTTGCATAGAACCTGGCTTATAGTAGGCTTTGGCCAATACTAGGATTATTTGGATAAAGTAATAGACACATAATTTATTCCTAGGTGTGGATTAGCCAGCTAGGATATACTCCTTGGCTTGTACTGGGTGATGTATTGTACTATACTGCATACTTGTGCTGCATAATGTATTCTGAATTGGGGACTTCTACAATGATGGGATTCTATTTCTAAATATTCTCTGTAAAAAAATTTCCTCACCTACCCTTCCCTTCGCACACACGGGCCTACGCATATGCACACTTACGTGCATTTTTTTTTTGTGGTGCTAAGTTCTCACAGTAGGTTTTTGTAGGACTTGTTAGAAAAGAGAAAGTTATTCCTCACTGACTTAAGTATGGATAAGTAAATCATACTCAGTAAATACAGTATATGAATACATGTGCCTATTGTTTAATTTTTAGAAAGGAGAGAGAAAAACATTTGTTGAAAAGGGTGCATTTTTCAGTGAGTTTAAAACGGTTCCAAATTTGAAGTTGGGATTCACTATTCTAATCTACAATCCAGGGGAAAATGTCAGTAACACCTTTCCAGCAGACAACATATACCAACTTTAGTCATGCATTATTTTAAGACAGCAATACACACAGTGCTGAAATAGGGTATTTGGACTTGCCGAAAAAAATTATGTTTACTCCTAAAATGTGTTCTAATCAAAACTAGTGGGAGCAGCTCCCAGTACACGAAAGCACACTGAGTCTACTAAATAATCTCTGGTAAATTGTGGCAGGAAGTGCACTGGCAAGCATACCGATGCAGGTCAAACCTGGTATTTTTTATTGTCACTTCAACATGCTGGAGTAATTGGCTCCTCTGTATCCCTTGTCAGTTTCTCACAACAGCATGGTGTGCAAGGAAGTACAGACAGCCAGTGCTGGAAAATGGGTAACATCGATATGGAAGCCCATCAAGAAGATGAAAAGTATTCACTTCTCATTCAGCAAACAAATACCAGAAAGCAGAAACTCTATTATAATTTCACCTCATTTTTCTTTGTTATGGTACGCCTGATAGTACGGTCAAAATAGTAGAGTCTGGATACCTCAATGTGGAATTCCAAATATTCGCTTCAATAGCAAATGTATTCCCTGAATGCATACTGCCATTTGCCTACAACATAACATCTCTGAAATTGGGAAATGAAATTATAATAAAAGATGCAAACGTGTCCCTTATTTACTACAAGAGGTTCCAATCTGGAGCACAGAACAGGAAATTTGAATTGAAAAAGATATAAAATGCAGGGACTAGAGATACCCAGGATACTTACGGAAACAAAGAACAGGCCCGATTTTCATACGCTGCTTCTCTTTATTATCACGTCTGGGTTCAAAGAAGGCTCATGACATTCCACCAAGTGAGAGCAAGAAAGCACTCCTACTAGGCTGTGGGGCAACTTACCACATCCCTGTGTTCTCCTTCTTTAGGGGTAAGGATGATGGAGAGCAAAATGACTCCAAGGTAATGGTCAGGATAATGGGGATCTTTCAATGTTAGGGTCACATCTGTGGGCCTATGAGATAAAATATTAAGACTGTGAGCAGTTGTTAAGTGGATAAGCCAAAAATATGTTCTATATTGACAATTTATTATTTTTAAGAAGAAAGTCAATTTTGTCTTCTTTACTTTTCTGGTACAAATTCTGTTGCTATTGAAATATCATTAATACGGGTGCCTGGGTGGCTCAGTTGGTTAGGCGACTGCCTTCGGCTCAGGTCATGATCCTGGAGTCCCAGGATCGAGTCCCGCATCAGGCTCCCTGCTTGGCAGGGAGTCTGCTTCTCCCTCTGACCCTCCCCCCTCTCATGTGCTCTCTCTCTCATTCTTTCTCTCAAATAAATAAATAAAATCTTTAAAAAAAAAAAGTATCATTAATGTACTAAGTTATCCAATCAATTGTGGATCAGCTGGCAATACTTAGGTTCACTGCAGAAGTCTCAGTCCTTCCTGGGGTTCTAGAAGACCGAGAAACTATAACAGTATTGAGAAATCTATTAAGTCCTTTTTTTAGGATCTCTAAACACACAGAAAGCAAAGCCAGCTATTTTCTATCAATTTGAGACTAACAAGTAAATGAGGGTCATTTACAGACCACTACATGATTTAGAGTAAACAGATGAGTGGGAAAAAGGGAAAAGATAAAATATAAAAAATAAAATATAATAGATATCATAGACATAATTTTAAAACAATGTGTTACTATTTTTAACAGACCCCATTGTTTAAAATAATGCTTCGGTATGTTTTGGCTGTTTAAACCTATGCCTAAACAATTTTTAGGTTCAGAAACACAAGGAAATCAATGCTTAAGGAGTTGGTGAATATTAGAAAGCTTTAGAATTACGTAGTTTTGAGGAAGAGACTATGAATTACTCAGTATTACTCAGGTTCACTTCTACAAATAATACAAAACACACATTCAACTGACAATGGTTAGGTAATATCTCGTTTCCATATTTCAATTAAATAAATATTTTAATTTCAACAAATGCATGTTAAGTTTTATTGTATATAGGTATATATGATATATACATAAATATATTTTATATATAATTTGATTTGGTTCATTTTGCTGAACAAACAGGTTCATGCCCTCCGTAAACTTAAGGGACTGTGGAATATTCAATACTGAACTTAAATCTTTAAATGTTGGCAAATTAGGGATGTTCCCTTACTTGTTCAGTCACTTATTCTTTTCATTCATAAAACATATATTAAACACACATGAAATACTACACACTGTGTGCTAAATTCTGGGCAAAAACCAAATGTCAAGATCAAAGATAATATCATTATCTTCAGGGAGCTTAATTAGTAAATGATACAGTCAGAGTCTAGTATCAGGGAGAAGGCTTGGTGAGGAAAGCTGGTCCAAATAAGAATTTTCAATCCTGTCTGCACATCAGAATCCACTGGGGAGCTTTAAAAAAGTGCACATTCCCTAATTGTACCCACGATGACCCCGGTTCTATAGATCAAGGGTGGGGAGTGGAAATTTATATTATTTGTAAAGCTCTTGGGTGATTTTCCCATACAACCAGGATTGACAACAGGAGATACTTTTTATTGCTAAGATGTTATAATACCAGGAGCCTCTTTCACATGATGCTTCATTTACTGAGTCAAGGAGTAATGTTATGAAAAAAAAAATGAAGTTATCTGATGTCAGAGGTTTTAACTGAAACATAAAAAACTAGACTGATGATACAATGTTATAAGAGCTGTGATACAAATTGCTCCACTAGCAATTTAGTTACAACTAATCACTGTGGTTTGACAATTGGTTCCTTTTGTCTTGAGAAATTCATGTTAAGCATTATAGAATATATGTATATATTATACATACATATATGTTTTTACATGGGGTTACAGTTTGATTCAGTTCATTTTCCTCTAATGATTACATATAAAATTAATAGAAAAAACTTCATTACATTTTTATAATGATTACATGATAAAGATTTAAGAACATTTGCGATTGCTTTATGATGATTACCTATTGTTTCCTTTCAAAGTAAAATCTTAATGCATTATATAGTAGGATAAGTATTTATATGGCTACTATCATTATCCATTTATCTGTACCCAGGGACTATTGATTTATACATAGAATGTAATGGTATAGGGCGCCTGGGTGGCTCAGTTGGTTAAGCAACTGCCTTCAGCTCGGGTTATGATCCTGGAGTCCAGGGATCGAGTCCCATATCAGGCTCCCTGCTCAGCGGGGGGTCTGCTTCTCCCTCTGACTCTCTTCCCTCTCGTGCTCTCTGTCTCTCATTCTCTCTCTCAAATAAATAAATAAAATCTTAAAAAAAAAAAAGAATGTAATGGTATATACCAGCTAGTGATTTTGAAAAGCAGTAATTTGGGATGTTTATGTGGTTTTGAGAGGAAGGAATGATTAAATATATACAATAAGTAATGTGGCAAAATAAACACCAAATGCTTGTATATAATCTTTTTATTTTCTTAATCATCTCATATTTTTTCCATTTAAAGTTATTTTTCATCAATGATTTATCTTTAATAGAGAACAAGAGAAATTTATGCTCTGTGATTAAATCCAGCAGTTTGCATAGCCTTTAACAGAAATCTACAGAGAAAATAACTGTGGCCTTTATAAAAGAACGCCACAGCCCATTCTGGTTGGAGCTCAGTTTTCATGATAATGGACCACATAAAATACCATCTAGGACACATCCTTCCTCGGTGGTGAGGGAGGCGAGCCAGCAATCACCTACGTTCTACTGTTAGTCAGCCTGCGCGAAGCTCTAGGTTGGAATGGAGGACATGCAGGAGGTACAGGAAAGTCTGCTCTTTTGTCCAGTCCATGACAAAAATGACTATTGAGAGACCAATAAACCGTCAAACGTGCTCAAACGTAGCTGACTATAATACATAAGGGGAGGGTTCTACTATTTCTATTTCATTTGTATTTAAAATATAAAGTAGTGATCCAGCCCATTACTCTGCTTTCTTGCATTCCACTTTTCCTGCCACATGATGTACATAATCAACTAAAACATCTTAAAACCATCAAAGATCTCACAGCTTCCTTTGCAATCTATCCCAGCATTGCTGGACCCTTTTAAGACATATTTTCCCTCTCTCTAGTATTAATTAATTCTAAGCTCCCAGTTGAAATGCATTTTTAAAAATATAAGCCCATAATTAGGTACGAGGAATGACTAATATTAGTAATAATTATATAACTTTACAAATAATCAAGCAATGATGAACTAATCTAACTGAGAAAATACAACTAAACTTTCTCCATGTTTGAGTCACTCTTCGATAACATAGGATTACCAGTGATGGCAAAATTAGATTGTACTTGGGCTCAGGTGATAAGGGAATGGCTGTTTTTGAAGCAAGGTACACGTTTTATTTCCTATACAGTGACCTGATTCTTAAATTAATAATTTTGACTAACATAGATAATCTACTTTATGTCCTACCACAACCATACCAGACATGTGAAAAGTAAGGAATGTGTCTCTTATCTCTAGATTCCTGGAGCCTAGCACAGTGCTGGAAGACAAAGCAGGTGTCTAAGAAGTTTTCTGCTGAATAGTTGTTGTTGAATGAGATAGTCAAGGAAGACACTATTATTTCCACTGGGTAGATAAGAGAGACGAACTTGAAAAAGGCTGGCTAGCATGAAGGCTCACAACAATAAATGAGAGAACAGTGACTAGACCCCAGATCTGCTGACACTTTCTATTACACAGGTCCAGCTTCACAACAAGACATAGTGAGGGGCACCTGGGTGGCTCAGTCATTAAGCATCTGTCTTTAGCTCAGATCATGATCTCCTGGGACTGAGCCCCGCATAGGGCTCCCTGCTCCATGGGGAGCCTGCTTCTCCCTCTCCCACTCCCCCTGCTTGTGTTCCCTCTCTTGCTGTGTCTCTCTCTGTCAAATAAATAAATAAATAAAATCTTAAAAAAAAAAGACGTAGTGATATTATAATGGTTCAAAAGTTACCTGTTTAACTCCAATTGTGTGAGATCCAGAAACGCCGAGCCCATAAAGTCATCTTGTAGTCCAAAATCATAGTCAAATACCTAAGAAGCCAAAGAGACAAGGCATTATTAGAAATAATTCCAATATAAGCTTTAAGTGAAAAATATCTCAATTATAAAATACTGGTTGTCTATGTCACCAAAAGCAATGAAACTTATTATTTATTTTTAAAAATTACTTTGTTTGAAATGTTAGGGTCTCACAAAATATTCAAAGGGAACTACCTTTAATTTTATACTTAAAATTTCTATTTTATATCAAATAGAACTTTAAGGACGACGAATAACAAAATCAAATAAATATAGTAAATCATCAAAAATCTGAGGAACATAAGCTTAGAATATTTCCCCCATATTATTAGCATTACTGAAAGGGAAAATAAGTTGGTATGAAATTCAACAAATACGTCTTCCTCAGTGGGTTACTGGTGATGATAATATAATTCTAATCTCTTTGCATTTTTCAGGTCACTGAAGATAAATTCTCTGATATTATAGGAAAATTCTGTTTTAAATATACAAATAAGTAAAAATTGAGGTGTTATTAAAGCATTTTGTAAAGTCATGTTAAGGTTAAGTCAAATCAAGTTTCTATCATCACAAGCAAGGCTAGGAAATAATATTAACGTAACTACCAGCAACAAGCAGAAAGGAAAGAAAAGAATGTATGTCTTCCTTCTGTCAGAACTATTTATCCAGTATCTTCTCTATGCCTTTCATGTTTCTTATCCATACTATGATGAATAAGAAAGCAGCACCCCGATCTCTTGCGACCTGCATTTAGGAGCTGAGATGGTCCATAAAAACCCAAATAGATAGATATATTTAGTGATGAGTGCTGTGGACACAAATGTCTAAGGGGGTGTGTTGGGAGCTGCTATTTTAGACTGGAGGTCCAGGAAGCCCTTTTGGAGGAAGTCTCCACCTAGAGACCGGAATAATCAGAAGGATTAAGCCAGTTTGGGAAGATCACTCCCAGGCAGGAGAAACAGCAGGTGATTAGCATATGCAAGGGTCATCCAGAAGCCAGTGTGGTTGAAGCAGACTGAGAAAGATGGACAGTGGAAGAAGGCTGGAGACACGGCTCAGGGCTAGATCAGTTAGGGCCATGTCCAAAAAACTCTAAGTAAATGGGAGTTGGCTAACTTCCAACCATTTATTAATTTTCTTACTCATTCATCTCCTCTGCCAATATTGATCAAGTATTCATTATGTATCAGACAATATGCTAGGTGCTGTGTAAGCAGTGGTGAGCAACCTGACATGGCCAATGCTTACAGTTTAGTGAGGGAGACAGATGCTAGAGAAGGAAGTGCACAGGTGATATGTAATTACCAATTGTGTTAAGTGTTGTAAAGAACAGATTGTGAAAAGAATAAAAATAACAATAGAGATCAGGGAAAACTTTTAAGATGGAAGAAAGATGCTCCTAGATAAAGTTGGGGGCTGTGCTTCCTGACCTTTTCAAATAGAAAGTCTTTGCATTGTACACTGCAGTAAATGAGCATGGACAAGGAAGCCAGCTCTTGAATGGATGAACCAGGCCATCGAACCCTCCAGGATGTGAGAATCCATTAGGCTGAGCGAATCCACAGCCCAGTACTCTGGTGCCCAAATCAGCACAACTGTGCTCAATAGTTAGAAAGCTTGAAGGAGAGGGAACAGTATGTACAGCAGCCTGAATTACTGGTTTTTCTCTAGACTAAGTATACTTCAAGTTAAACTTATTATGTAAAAAATTGATATTTAAACCAACAGATAAACACTTTGCATTACAAAAGCATTCTTAAATTTGAAGAGTCACAAGGGGATTTATTTAAGTGATAAATTCCCTTAATGCCTTCTAAATTATTCAATTTACAGTCATTTGACTTACATACAACCTTTCAGGAGTACATTTGTTATAGAAAGCACAGTGCTCCTGCAATAAATACTCTCCTTGATCAATTACACTTCTGAGTTCTAGTCATCTGCTCAGTGGCATGTCACATGAGTATACTGCAACATCTCAGGCAAAGGACACGTCAGTGTCTGCAGGTGGCTGCAATAGGGTATTTTACAACATAAAATTTACACTAAAAATTAAATAAATTTCTTACGCAACCTCTTCTAACTGTATCACCCTAAAGCTTAAAATCTTGGGACTCTAGTGATAATGAGACCATCTGGGGTACATCCAGACATGTGAAGTGGAGAGCTGTGAATCCAGTGAACTGGCTAAAAGAAACATCCCAGCTGGGTGATGGAATATTCGAACTCTCTTTACTCTCGTGGCGAAAGTCTTTCCTACAGTCCTAATGCTAGGTGCTTACTTTACTTCTCCTATTACTTAGCAAGGGCATCCATATGGGAAAGAATGGAACCACCAGAATCCATTCATTAATGAAATTATTAGTGATGCTACTTGGTTCTATGCTCTATAAACTACTTGTCAGAAGGAGCATTGCTATAGGGGGAGTTTCAGAAATACAGAGCACAGAGAAGAGAGAAAATAGGGAAACGTACTCCCACTGCAATAAGAACATGCACAGTTAACACTGATTAATGTTTATTCAATATTTGCTACCCGTTAGGCACTGTTATCTATTAAACATGTTACGGAATTTTTTTTTTAAGATTTTATTTATTTATTTGTCAGAGAGAGAGTGTGAGAGCACAAGCAGGGGGAGCGGCAGGCAGAAGGAGAAGCAGACTCCCCACTGAGCCAGGAGCCCGACGTGGGGCTCCATCACAGGACCCTGGGATCATGACCTGAGCGGAAGGCAGACACTTAATTGACTGAGCCACCCGGGCACCCCTGCTTTGGAGATTTTTAAATTTATGTCTTACACAACTCAGTGAATAGGGTATTGTTGTGTCCATTTTTCAGACGAGAAATCCAAAGCTTGAAAAGTTTATGTTACTTCCCCTCAAAATTCAGGGCTTGGAAGAGGTCAGATTCAGATTCTATAGTACAGGATGCTCTGTTCAGCATAGAACATACTGAAATTTAACAAATACGACTTGGCCACCCACTGTGAGTGAAGTCCTGCAAATTCAGACATGAACAGTTTAGATGGGATCCTTGCTTTCACGGAGCCTCCCCTGGGAGAGGTGGAAACCTTAGGTAACATTAGATAAAAGCTGCTCGGGCTCCGTTAACACCTCTCTTCATTCTCACGTGAGTTTAGAACAACACGTGTTTTATTCTAATCAATGAATTTATTTAACATCTCGATTCAATTGTCTTCCAAGAAAAATTGCATCAGGGAGTACACCAGCTAAAATGCTTTTGGGATATAAGTAACAGAAAACTCAACTCCCATGAATGGGAATTTGTTAGCTCAGATGACTGAAATGCCCATAGGTGCTTATGACTTCAGGGGAGTTTTCAACTGCCAGTTCAAAAGATTCCTATATCTATTCATTCAGTTACTTGAGAAATATTTGGTCAGGATCTATAATGTGCCAAATGTTGTTCCAGGCACTGGAAATATGGCAGTGAATGGGACAAAGTCTCTGATTTCTTGGGGCTTACATATGGGCAGGGTATAGACAATAAACAAATGCATGTTAGGTAGTAATAAGTGTCATGGAGAAAAATATCTCAGAGTATGGGAGTGATGAGAAGTGCTATTTACAGAAGATGTTTAGGAGGACAATCAGAGAGAGTGGCATTCGAATAAAGAGGCATAATGAGAATAGGATATGGAAAGGGATCCAGATCACATAATGTGACCCAAGATATAAGATTCTACTCAAATATGTCCATAACTCATTTTCATACCCAGGAAGCTTCAAAATACTCATTTCACTATACAAGAATAATTAAACTCTGAATTATAGTATTGACATTGTAAAACAAAGAAAATAAAACCTAACTGCGGCCATTGCGATTAGTCATCTTTAGTGGAAAAAAGTTAAGTTGCATAATTGCTGGGTGGACATAGGAAACACTGAGTCCCTCTAAGTCTCTCTCACCTATAAAATGGGGATGAGGATAGTTACTTGTCAGGTATTGTGAGGTTTACATGAGATAAAGTAGGCCTGGCACCTAGCATGGTGCTTAAGAAATTGTAGTTATTATTATGATGAGAAGATGTGACCACAGATTCCATCTTCCCAAGACTCAATAACTTCCTATGTTCTCTGCCTATAAACCAAAAGCAAGTATGGTCACACTTGTTTATTTCCTTGTTTTGTTTTGCTATTGATTTTTGTTGTTGTTGTCTAAAACAGTTGAGATTCTTGATTCATGCATTTAGGAAGTATTATTGAACCATACAAGACAAAATGTCTAAGATAATATAAGCATCTAACTTTGGAATAATTTGGTTTGGGTGCTGTGTAGGTTAGGGCTAGAAACATTTTCATTCCAACTACTCAGTTGTTTCCATTTAAAAGTCTAGAAAAGTGGCTCCCTACCCAAGCAGTGCATCAGAATAACCTGCTGTGTTTTAAAAATACAGAAGATTGGACTCTACCTCAGAGGTCCTGAATCAAAGTCTTTAGGGAAGACACTTGAATAAAAAAAAAAGAACCACAAACAAAAATAAAACAAACAAACAAAAAAACCCTTTATGGATAATTCTGATGTACAGTCAGAGTTGATGATCATTGGTATATGACATTCTTTTAGGGCCCTTAAGACCTAGTGAGAAATAATTTTGTATAAGATAGCAATATGGTCTTTAATTTGAACTATGTTTAAGGATTTCTTTTTTTGAGAGAGAGAGAGAAAGTGTATGTGCGAGCATGGGGGCAGGGGCAGAGGGAGAGGGAGAGAATCTTCGAGCAGACTTCCCGCTGAGCACAGAGCCATGCAAGACTGATCTCACCACCTTGAGATTGTGACGTGAGCTGAAATCAAGAGTCATATGCTTAACCAACTGAGGCACCCTGGCACCTCAAGGACTTTCCGATTTCAAATCTTAAACTTGAATAGATAGGAGTTACTTAAGGAATTGTCAATTTTGGTAAAATAACAGTCTTAGAAACAGTAATCTGACCCCCAAACAGAATCACCTTCCTAATTACCAAAAACTTTCTATTATTTAGAAAAGACTCCAATCTAATACCCAGATTTCTAGCCTACGATTAGGCCAAACAAGTAGCAATTTACACAAACATTTCCCCTTTCTATTATTTTTCTCTCTTCTACTGTAACTCTGGGGGTTCACTGTGTACCTTGGATAATTGTGTCAGTGAGATGAAAATCGAGAATTTAATTCAATTCAACTGAAATGGACGCTGAATTTACCCTATTCTCTAAGATGTGTGCAGGAGCATCCCTTGGCAGGCTCCAGTGGCTCTTGCCTCAGTTAATAGCATTGCATTTAGGGTGGCTCAGTCGGTTAAGCCTCTGCCTTCGGCTCAGGTCATGATCCCAGGGTCCTGGGGTCAAGCCCCATGTTGGGCTCCCTGCTCAGCGGGAGCTTACTTCTCCCTTTCCCTCTGCCCTCCCCTCCCTACTTGTGCTCTCTCACTCACTCTCTCAAATAAAATCTTTAAGAAAATAGCATTGAATTTAAACCCCCAGCCTCTACTACTACCTTATAAATATATTTCAAGTCTATTCCTATAAACTTGTTTTCACCTGCCCTTACTATAAAGTCATTTGGAGCAGAAGGAATATTCTCATTAAAATTAAAATCTACATGAACTCCAACCAATTGGAAAGTATGTTATTATTTATTTTGTGTCTAGTTTTTTTAAAATGACAGTTCCAAGATTTTTTTTGGAAAAAAAATCTGTTTTTTCTAGAATTGGTAAAAGCACTGCAACTTTAATGCAATTTTATAACCTTGGCTCAGAACTGACTTTTGTTTCCCTTGGTAATCCTTACATTGATAGAAATCAGATTACAGGGTACACACGGACTTCTTTTTCCTTTAACTGTAGACGGGAGGGTTGTAGACAATATTTTCTAACCATCCAGTACATGGATGCATTTTCGTATCACCTGTCACTATAGAATCAGTTCATCCCTAAGAGATCTTTCAGGCAAGATTAATCTCCCAGCATGGAGGATATAGGCATCATATCAAAATCAAGTCAGTCAATCACACAAGGCTGTGTAGAGACACTGAAAAGAATGCAATGTTCATGAAATTCTAGTAACTCAAAATATTTCCGCCAATGTATTTTGTTTAGGTCTCTGTGTGTGTAAGGTTAGGCAAAAAGTAGATAACATAAAAAATGGGAAAAATAAAGCAAAAAGTTAGAGATTTTTCTCAAAAGAAGCCCTAGCATTTTACAGAAAATGAAAATCAAGTGAAAAATAGGAAAGCATATTTAAAAGCATAAAATAGTACATAAAAATATTGTCATTTTATGTTTGTACACATAGTATTTGGGAAGCCAGTGTGATTCTTACTTAATCATTTTTCTTATGTAGAAATGTACAAAAGTGGCAAATACTTTACAATTCACTGTTTTTTTCTGTACGGTGAAAACCAAGTTGTAGCTATATGATGTCATACTTTGAAAACTCAAAGTGATAAACAAACAAAAAAATAAAAACAACCTTTGGGGTCTCTCTCCTAGCTTCTTAGCTTATAGCGTGGCATCAGCCAAGGCCTTTGGCCTGCACGCTGTATCACTGTCTCCATGACAGAAGGATGTGCACGTACACATTCTTGCTCTCTCAGACCACAACAAAAGTTTTTGCCACCATTTTGTGTGTGTGTGTGTGTGTGTGTATGTCAGATTTTAGTTTGTTTTTGAGCCGACTGTGATATTCTTTTTCAAACATGCATTTTGACATTTTGGTTTCTACAGAGATGAATACTCATTCTTGAGCACAAGAGAATAGCGAAAGGACCTAACCAACATCTAATGTAATTTTGGGAAGTTCATTTTGTAACCCTTTCAAAGACTGGAGATCCACCTGGTTCTGTTGTAGAGTAATAGCCCAGTAAAGAAACAGATCCACAGTAAAAGTAATTAAAAATAAATCTTTTTCTTTCCATGATTTTTCTCTTACGGGACCTTAAACAAGATGCAAGTGGTCCAGTGCAATCCTTACTAACACCTGCTTTCTTTCCTCTCCTGTCCACTGTCCCCGTGGTTACAAATGCTCTAACTCATCTCTTCCAAACCTCCCCAGAAATAAAATTTCCTTTACATTCCACTTGTCTTTTTTTTTAATTCCTTTTTCATCTTCTATCTCAGTTTTTTATTATGAAGGTATTTTCTTTTTTCTCATGCAGATATTTCTTTCTCTCTGGAAGTGGGGAGCAGGAAAGAAAAATACCTCCGACCTGGAGATCTTCCCTTTGGTGGGAGGAGGATTGGCTGCGAATATTCCCACATTAATAATTCTTATGCCATCACACATTGTATATTAAAAGATAGTTCAGGAATGTTATTTAATTGATTTTCTTTAGCCAATGTCCACTTGAGACTATTTCTTATGCAAATACAGATCTATTCTTCCATAATGTCTTCTAGAAACTTATCAACTGTGTACTTAGGAAATTTTCTTTTCATTGATCTTATAAACTGTTTTGCTATGATTTTTTTTTTTAAGGCTAGTCAAGTGCAGTAGTGAGAAGGGGGAAAGAGTAGAATAAGGAGTTCAACCTGTAACTGACTGTGAACAATCAATTGAGAGAACTCACTACACCTTTGGACCAACCAGTTCTGCTATGATTTTAATAAAATCTTGATTATTATTTTTCTTTCTGTGGAAAAGAGAAAGAGCTGGAGGCAATATAAATGAAGAGTTGATGGGAAGGAGGATGCCTAGAGATTGCTTAACGAATGATTATGTGAGATTTTTGGTTCATGCGCCATTTGTGACAAGACAGAGAAAAGGAGGAGGCGTGTGGTTATTACGGTAAAAGTAGAAAAAAGTTTGGCCATTGAAGGGATAGTCAGAACACAGGAGCCACAAACAGCGTGGAAATATGAATTAGATACAGAAAAAATGTCTAGAGATACAGATTAAAGATAATTTAGATAGGGAAATAAAACAAGGAATTAGGGTTGCAAAGATCTCCTTAAGTTCTTTTTTTTTTTTTAAACTACATCAAGTGAGAGGAAAGACTCTTTTTTCCCCCCATTTTTGGTAATATGATAGAGACAGGAAATCCACCCCCCTTTTTTATCTTTACCCTTCTCATCTGCCAAGGAAAATATATCTTTGCAACCTGTAATGGCAGATCCCCTGATAGAGTTCTTGAACAGAAAGGCTGGGTTTTGTGTAAGTTTTCCTTCTTGCTAGATTTCACAGTGACTTGTTTTCTAAATTCCCAGAGTGCACTGAGTCAGTTAACTGCACCAAACAGGAGAAGACTGACTTCATAAGTCACACCATCAACAGATGAAAGTTGCGCAGAGCAGAATTTATCTCTGGTGAAAAATCTCATCAGTCAGGGAGACATGATAGAAAACCATTAAACAGGGAGTTTTATGTCATTGCATTAGGGGAAAACATAACTGGCTTACCTTGATATACAAGGGTTCCTTCAGATGTTCAACAAGAATGCAAGCTTTCTCCTCCCACACAGGATTGAGGTTCTTGTGTATTATTTTACTTCTAAAAACTTCTTTTCCTCCAATTTTAAACTTCACGTATGGATCACTTGTCCCTGTTAAAGAGATAGAGATTAATTCATGTTAGTCACACTATTTGCTGGGAAGCAAGAGATTAGCTCATTTAAACATCAGGAAGTATTTAAAGGAATCAAAGTTAAAAAAAAAAACTTATCACATGGGAAAATAAAAGTTAAATGTTTTTTCCCAAATTTTTCCTTAAATTTTAAAGTGACAGTAAATATTAATAATAATTATTATATCTAAGTAATAATAATACTAATTATTATTACTGTATCTTCTGATCTTAATTCTGTAACCCTATCCTGGTATTTAAAAACCTCTATTTCATACTGCATATGTAAATTTAATTCATATTATAAACAAAAGAGATTATTCTGACATTTCTCTTGGTATCACCCAGTCAACTATAAAAAGATGATCCATGATCTTGACTGATTTAAGTAGTTTTAGACTTATATATGCTGCTCAAATTTTAGACTAGTCTGATGGGCTTAAGGAAAGGTGAGTCTTAAACTGGGCTTTCATTTCATCCTTGGTCCCATATTCTCTCGAGCTCAGAAGTTGCAATTTTAGAACACGAGGAAAGGATGGAGGTCTCAGAGGAAGGCGTGGGGGGAAGGGTACAACTGTTTATTAAATAATCTGCAAACTTCATATTATCCCTTCGCACCCCCCAAGCTCCTTATGATGATAAAGAAAATCAGAGCTATCGAGTAAGTTGCTCACGACACTGGAGATGCTAGCAGGAGATGCAGTTAAAATTCCAACCAAGCTTGTTTGACTCTAACACCTGTGCTTTTTCTACTACACCTGCAAGGGGGAGGGGCTTTGACATACTTCTATATATATCATACCATTTCTCATTGCGACCAATGAATGAGGCCAATTGATCTAAGGAGTCTATGCTATTACTAAGGATTCCTAGAGAAGGTGAATCAGAGACATCTCCAGGTAAATCATCCCAGTGTGACAATCTTCATCCCCAGGAAATAATTCTTTGTACGAGGCCCAACTCCCTTATAAGATTTTGTTGGGGTGCCTGGATGGCTCAGTCGGTTAAGCGTCTGCCTTCAGCTCAGGTCATGATCTCAGGGTCCTGGGATAGAGCCCCACTTGGGCTCCCGGCTCAGTGGGGAGTCTGCTTGTCCTTCTGCCCCCTGCTCATGCTCCCTCTCTCTCTCATAAAAAAAATAAAATTAAAAAAAAAAGATTTTGTTTAATTCTTTCTGTTTTGCCTAAACTGAAGCTATAATTGATAACTACGGTCTATATGATTTAAAGAAGAATGTGAGTGGGGGTCTGTAAACTGTAAAGTATGATATAAATGTTAGGGATTACAATTACAATGCTGATATCCTTAAGCTCACTCTCTGTATCACTTCTCAACACTCCACTCACTGCAGTGACACATAAATATTGATGCAAAATATAAGGACTGCCACATAGGACTTTGTTTTTCTTATTTAATCATTTGTGGGCTTTCTTAAAACCCTCCACACTTTTGAAGTAAATATAATACCTTGCTCTTTGTATGCCTAGACCCGGGTATAATAAGATAATGATCCCAATTCCTCATTGTGAAACTCCCATTTTGACAGTGTGATTTTATCATAATGGTACAAACTTAAAAAAATTTATAAATATAAATATAGGCTATTATATGGTTACCCATTATAATGAATGCATTCTTTTGGGGAGTCAGTGCAACTGAAATGTTAAAAATTGCTATTTTTAACACAGTAGTTCCCAGCTATGGGCTGAGGACCCTGGGGATTGAGGGTTTTAGAGCACAAATTTGGAGGTTATTAAAATCCATGTACCCATTTGAAATTTCTCAGTCACGCCCTAGATCAAGTTATTGTCTTTGATTTTGAAATTCATCTATGTAACCATTACCACCTGCTAAAATATAATAAGCTTCATAATATCAGAGCCATTTGGATCCCCCTTTTTAAAAATCTCCAGCACTTAGTACAGAATCAGACATATTGTTGGTCCTCAATAGACATTTAGTGAATAAATGAATGAGTTAATGACTTAATAGCGTGGGTGGCAGCCTCTGTTCCTGACTTTTGTCCCCTCCACTTGGATATCTAATAGACATTCCAGTGTCCAAAATGTCCAAAACTTAAGTCTTGATCCTCTCTCCTGCTAAGTCTGCTCCTCCCTCAGGCTTTGTCAGGTCAGTCAATGAATGACTTCATCATTTGACAGCTGTTCATGCAAGGCACCTTTGGAAAGTGTTCTCAATACCTCCTTCTTCTCCATGCTTTGTACCCAGGACACCATTAAGTCCAATAAATTCCAAAATACATCTTATCCATCTTCTCTGCCTCCAATCTAGTTAAGCCACCATGATTTCTTTGCTGTTCTACTCTAAAAACAGCCTCCTAATTGGGCTCTCCACATCTTCTGTGTCCCCCTCCATTAATTCACTATGTGGCAGACAGATTGACCTTTTAAAAATGCAAATTTAATCTTCCCTCTTCTTTGCTTAACACATCTCAACAGCTTGCAACTACGTCTACAAGAAAATCCAAACTCTGGGGGCGCCTGGGTGGCTCAGTTGTTAAGTGTCTGCCTTCGGCTCAGGTCGTGATCCCAGGGTCCTGGGATTGAGCCCCGCATTGGACACCCTGTTCCACGGGAAGCCTGCTTCTCCCTCTCCCCCTCCCCCTGCTTGTGTTCTCTCTCTCCTATGTCTCTCTCTGTCAAATAAATAAATAAAATCTTAAAAAAAAAAAAAAAAAAAAAGAAAATCCAAACTCTGTAATATGGTATACAGGACTTGCCATTTCTCCAACTCCATTTTGGGCCCCTTACTATGTTCCAGGTATCCTGTACTGGAAGTTATTTTCCGCTTCCAGCTTTTGCACATTCTAGCTAGCCTCTCTGCTTGAAAAGTCCCTCCCTCCCATTCTCTTCCCCTTTTGCCTGGCTGACATTTTATTATCCTCCTGGTCTTGGTTTAAATGCAATTTTCTCAGGGATGCTTTCTTAACCTCCCAATTTGAATTAGGTCTCATTATTACTTTCTCTTGGCATTTGCTCTTTGCTTAGTAGCAGTAGTTATTATGTTACTTATAGGTTAATTTGTATGTCCACCTGTTTATTGTGTGAATTTTCCCACTGGCTATGACCCCCATTAAGGCCAAGCCCCTTCCCCGACACATGGCACAGTGTCCGGAGTGGAGGAGGCACTGGGTAAGTATTTGCTAAATGGATGAGTCAATGAATGACTACAGAGTTTACAGTGTACAGAGTACTGTTAAACCTCATCAACCTATATTGAAGATGAGAAAAAATCTGAAATTCAGTGTGACTTGCCCCAAATCACATGACAAGTAAGGCAGGCAGTAACAGGATAGAAGCAAACTTAGACTTTCCGACTCCAGATGCAATGTTCCTTCTACTTAGCTTTTAGGAAGCCCAGACATCCATATTTTCCTGCTTTTACTCTAAAATACCATCAGAGAATTATCATATAAAGGTGTTCAATAATCAGTAGATACTGTAAATAATACTAATATTAACAAGTAGCCTCCTCTGGTCTCTAGAACACTCACACTCATTATTTGTTTAACCACCCTACGTCTCTGTGAGTCTACTGTTGTCTCCATTTTATGGATGAGAAAACCAGGACAGGTTAAGTGGCTTATTCCAAGTCAGATGAGAACTCACATCTGGAGACCAGTCTGGTTAGTGCTTTTTCCGGCACATCATTATGAAACACTCATTTCAGGATGCAACAATGCTTGATTTCTGTTGTTCAAAAAGAATAACTCTTCTACAAGGAAAGTGATTTCAAGAAACTTGGCCTTGTATCTCTAAGTAGTGTCTCACTCCATTTGGTTTGGCTATTCTGTAAAAGGACAAAACTTCCAGTGATTCAGCACAGAAGACCATACACACAAAAGTAAATCCTTTTGGGAAGCAATCTGTTTCTTGACCTTCCCAGAAACACTTTCCTCACCAGCTGTATAGGTCAACTGTCAAAATTCCCTCAGAGTTAGATACACCCAGTTCCTGGAATCCTGCTGGGTGGTCCTAAGGGCTCAATGGTAGAGCTTAAATCACAAAAGGAAATCTAGATCACTCGAGCTAACACGTGCTGAACACCAGATACAACACACTGCCTAACAAGCCTGAGAGAAGACTTCAGCTGCTATCTTGAGGTGACAGTTGCAGAAACCACAGCATGCAACAGGTGAGTAAATTTTCCAAAGTCACACAGCGAGGATGTTGGGGCTTGAATTAATTGTTACACTAGGCTCTCTCTCTCTCTCTCTCTCTCTCTCTCGAAGAAGAAGAAGAAGAAGAAGAAGAAGAAGAAGAAAAGAAAAGAAAAGAAAAGAAAAGAAAAGAAAAGAAAAGAAAAGAAAAGAAAAGAAAAGAAAAGAAAAGAAAAGAAAAGAAAAGTTGCACTGGAGAAAAAAAAGCCCCATGGTCAAAGAAGCCTGGAAAATGCTGCATGTCATACCCCTTATTGGAGAGTCATGGTGCACATTCACTTATTTAAAGGCGATAGAAAATGAACCTATTTAATTTTGTTCTAAACCAGCATTTTCTAATATGCTAAATATTCTAAATATGCTTGGCCACAGAATTCCTTAAATTCCTGTGCTGGTGCTGCTTTGTTGCAATATTGCATTCAACCACAAGATGGCACTAACACTTATCAAATTGTTGTGAGGCCTGTGGTTCTATTAAAAATTAAGGCCTCTTAAATACACACTTTGTGGTTTTCAGGCATTTTCTAGCCACCTGTGCTTGCTGTTGTTAACTGAGCCATGGCCCTCATTAAAACATTTTCTATGGCACTGATGAAATGAAAACAGGGCAAATAAGTATGGGAGAAGAAACTAGGACGTGTTAGCCCTAAAATAAAATTCAGGTTTTATTGTTATTCATGTCATAGTCAAGAGCAACCTTCTTCACACATGCGCTTTATCAGATAGCATTAACTCCAGAATTTATTTTTCAACATTAATCCTTTTATTTTATAATTATAAATTCTATGCTTTAAAAATTC